TTACTATTCAAATCTTAATTAAAAATCCAAATTTTCAAGCGTACCCAAAATAGATATGGCTAATAAACACGAGATTCCATTCCAACATAAAATATATATATATATATATATATAGTAAATTAAATTATTAAAATATCTTCAAATTAGGGCATCAGATATTATACGCACTATTTTCATTATTAGCAAATCAAAATTTACAGCAACTCCATTAATGGCCAATTAAAAGCTTCAGACCATCTTCTCCTATAAATCGACGCTGCAGTTTCTTCTTCTTCGTCAACAATGGCGGATGTAATAAAAATGTCTCGTCTGTTGTTTTGTGTATTTCTCTTATTTGCAGTTTCTGCCCTAACTGTCTCTTCCTCCGACGATTTCGCCGTCGACGAATTTGGGGATTCCGACGACGATGATACTGTCCTTGTCACCGTTGAAGACGCCGGCGGATTTCACGAGCTGAGGAAGAAGCTCTGCCGCCGTGCGCCGCCGCCGCCGGCGGATATCGACGACGGAGCTCTCGATTCGTACGAGGAGCTCGTTCGCCGCCACTGCCGCCGCCGCCGCCGTCCTCCTCACCGCCGCGCTCCGTCGCCGAAGCGTGCGAAGCCACCGAAGTCTCACCACCACGCGCCGCCGCCGAAGCGTGCTAAGCCACCGAAGTCTCACCACGCGCCGCCGCCGAAGTACGGGAAACCACCGAAGGCTGATTTTGATTTTGAATATGAAACGGTCGAGGAATTTGTGTGATTTTTACTTGTCGTGTGGTTTGGAGATTATACTAATAAAATTTTAAATATAGAAAAAAATATAAATATACACATACATTATTATTATTATTATTATTATTATTATTATTATTATTATTATTATTATTATTATTATCCATCTATAAAAAATTAATAATTTTTAAAAAATATTATTTTTTATACTCTCAGTACAATTTCTCATGTTATATATAAAAATAATTAATTTGTCAAAAAAAATACTGAATGAACATACTGTGTATTTTTATATGACAATTCAAAATTTAGAATATTTGTAAGAAGAAAAAGGAAGATAAACATAAATAATGGATAAAAAAAAAAAAATTAATAAGCAAAAGAAATAGAGGGAAAAAAACTTTTCATACTAAATTGTTCTTTTCCCTAAATAATGTCTAAAAAAGGTAATTTACACTATATAGAAAGCAAAATTTATAATTTTTCCTATTTAATATGATAAATAGAATAAATGTACTTATCTTGAATTATTTCATAACTTCTCTAATATACCCTTGAACAATTTTACAATACCACATTATTATTTTTTAACTTTTTAAAAGCAACCGACACGAAAATTATTTAGTGAGAAGAGTATAGAAGACATTTCACATAGATCACATTAACATCTAATAATTTTTAACATAGATAACGTAACATTAATAAATAAATGTGACCTCCATGAGTTTGTAAGATATTAATTTTTTATTATTATTTTTAATTTATTTATAATAGACACAATGTTATATATAGTGTAAACACACCCGCATAGTGACTTTTTTTTTTTTATCGAAAACCCGCAGTTGCTATTCGAAAATGCACATTGGGTAAACCTCCGGCCGAACCTAATACCCTGCAAACCAAACCTGACGGGAAAGTCACACTAGGCGAACCATACGTGGTTGGTGACTTGAGGCGTCGGGAGTTTGAACCCATCACCTCACGGTCACAAGTCTAACCCCTACACCACCAGGTCATCCCTTACGAGACTACTTTTGATATGTTGATTACTTCAGCCGTGGCTTAGAGATAAAGATGGAGGCTATGGTAGTTACTTGAAGAAGAAGACGACCAGAGATGAGAACGTCAACGACAAATATTGATGAATTTAGTAAAGGTCTTTGACGACAAATATGACTTTCGTAATAAAAAATAAGATTTTTTCCAACGAAAGTTAAAAAAAGAGATATAGCTACAAAAAAAAAATGATTTTGCAGCTAAAGTTCTTTGCTGTGAAATTAAAATTCATACAAGAGTTTTAGCAACAAAATATGTTTGATTTTTTTAGCCAAATGATTTTATCCATGAAAAATAATATTGCAACTAAAATATTTTTGCTATAAAAATATAATTTTCTAGCAAAAAAAAAATTTAGCGACGAAAATAATTTTGTAGTACATAATTTATTTTTAATTTTGTTGTTAAGTAGAGCTTTTTAACTACAGAAATATTTCGTAGTTAAAAATATTGTAGCTAATTAAATATTTTTAACACCAATATTTGTTTATTATGCTCCCTAATAGTTTGTGTGTGCTTATTGAAGTTTTATTTGACATAATTATTATTTTGGGCCAATATATACATAATATACACATTCACCAACAATCAGGCCCACATCCAAATAGGTGGGATAGATGAGATATTTATTTATTTATGTATTTAAATTTTAATTTATATATTTTCTCCGTCCAAGTAAAGTGTTCAATATTTTCATTTAAATATGTTCTATATTATTTGTTTTTTTTAAAAAATAATTATAAAATTATATTAATCTTAATTTATAATTATTTATATTATACCATAACTATTTTTATAAAATATATTTTTTAATTATTTATTAATTATAATCTTTCTACATTTTCATATTTACGGTAATATAGAGACTTTATCAGTGGCGGAAAGAATATTAAATATGATTTTTATATTTCATTTTTTGGGTTTTAGCTCTGATTATTTGTCTAAATAATGGTTTGCAAGATGAAATATTGTATCTTTATAAGGAATTACATTATGTGTTTTAGTTAATTTTTTTAATAGTAATTTGGACATTATGTTTTATACTCCCTCCGTCCCACATAATTTGTCTCTATTTTCTATTTTCGTCCGTCATGGAAATATAATTATACACTTTAATTTCATTTTAAATTTTAAATTTTATAATTTTTTAATCTTAATTAAACTATTTAGTTATCTTAATCTTAATCCACAATTATTTTTATTATACGATAATTATTTTTACTAATCAATTTTTTAATTATTTACTAATTACACTTTATCTAAATTCTCGTATCTACAGTAACAGCCCATAATACATGAGATGGAGAGAGTAAGATAGAATAACTAAAGTTTAAAAGACAAAAGTTGCGATGTGTGTTTTTGTTGGTTATTTTTTTATTATTTTAATTTAAAATTTTGGTTTACATAGTGATTTGAATATAGTATTGTAAAATATATTGAAAAAAGTTATGAAGTTTAAAATTATAAAAAAGACTGAAAAAAAAATCAGAACAAACATAAGATGATTGCATAGTAAAAAATTGAAATCAAATAAAATTCTAAAAAATAGAACAATTATATATACTTTATTTTTTTATATTTTATAAATATGTTCACTCTCTTTTAGACACTAATTTTCAATTGTAATTTTTTCAAAAATAAATAATAAATAATACAAAATATTTTTTTATAAAATTCAAAAACAAATTCAAGCACTTATTAGTCAAATATTTATCTTTAAATCTTACTCTCTCCGTCTCACCTAATTGTCTTTTTATTTCCGTTTGTCTCATATAATTTATCACTTTTTTTTAAAAAAAAAAATCTAATTATGCACTCTAATCATATTTTAAAATTCATAATTTATAATTTATATTTTAATTAAATTATTTAATCGTCTTAATCTATAATTATTTTTACTAAATCATAATTATTTTTACTAATATATTTCTTAATTACTTACTAATTATACAATATCTAAAAATTCCATACCCCTACTAAGGTAGACAAATTAGTTGGGAGGAAGAAAATATATTTTATATTTTTGACACAATTATCTTTACGGCAGGCTTAAAATCAATTCATCTAAAAATGTGGAGTGAACATAACTATTATTTTTTATTTAAAAATTATACTACCTCCGTCTCGAAAAAAGACTAATATTTATTTTTTGTACGTAGATTTTTGAATATTAGTATTATATTAGAAGTGTTGTAAAAGACAAAAATGCCCCCATTAGATTGTGTGATGTAAAAGTAATGACATTTATGTAATATATTAGAAGTGGTAAGGGTATTAATTATGTTAGGTATGTAGTACAATTACTAAATAAGAAAATTTTATTATTGTTTTTGGGACCGACAAAAATGTAAAATGGTACTCCCTCCGTCCCAGAACTATAGTCTTAATTAGATTGAGCACGAGATTTAAGAAATATTGATATTATATTGGTAGTTGATAAAAAAATATGGATAAAAGATCTTTTTGCCCTTCTGAGTGTATTAGTATAAAAAATAGTGGCAATTGTGTAATAAAAATGAAAAAGTAAGGGTAATTTTATGGTGATATAGTTATTTATGAAAATAAGACTATTGTTTCGAGACAAAAAAGAGGGTAAACAAGACTATTGTATTGGGAATGGAGGGAGTATCATTTTTACGGTATGGAGGGAGTATTTAATATATATATACATATACTCCCTCCGTCCCATGTAGTATGGGTGTATTACTGTAGACACGAAAATTTAGGTAAAATGTAATTAGTAAATAATTAATAAGTGTATTAGTAAAAATAATTATAGATTAAGATTAAAATAAGTAAATAGTTTAATTAAAATTAAAAAAATCATAAAATTTAAAATTTAGAATATGATTAAAGTGCATAATTATATTTTCAAAAATAGAAAAGATAAGTTATGTGGGACGGACAAAAATAGAAAATAGAGACAAATTATATGGGACGGATGGAGTATATAGAAACATATTCAGAATTTATTTTTATTGCAAATATATATATAATATGAATGGCATTAATTATTACGACCAAAATATTCTTATTACCAAAAAATAATCATAACCGTTTTTAAATTAGGGAATGAAAATAATATAATTAGCATATCAAATTAAATACATGGTTAGTAGTAAGTAAGTAACTCTAATAATGGCCAATTAATTAACAGCTTCAGACCAGCCTTAATTATATTCGCCCTATAAATTGAGGCTGCACTTTCTTCTTCACTGCAATTCAACAATGGCGGATGTAATGAAAATGTCTCGCCTGTTGTTTTGTGTATTTCTCCTTTTTGCAGTTTCTGTCCTAACTGTCTCTTCCTCCGATGATTTCGCCGTCGACGAATTTGGAGATTCCGACGACGATGATTCTGTCCTTGTCACCGTTGAAGACGATGAAGGATTTCACGAGCTGAGGAAGAAGCTCTGCCACCGCGCGCCGCCGCCGCCGGCGGAACTCGACGACGGAGCTATCGATTCGTACGAGGAGCTCGTTCGCCGCCACTGCCGCCGCCGTCGCGCTCACTCTCCCAAATCTGCCAAACCACCGAAGTCTCACCACCACGCGCCGCCGCCGAAACACTCGATGCCGCCGAAGTCTCACCACCACGCGCCGCCGCCGAAACACGCGATGCCGCCGAAGTCTCACCACCACGCGCCGCCGCCGAAGCACGCGAAACCACCGAAGGCTGATTTTGATTTGGAATATGAAACGGTCGAGGAATTTGTGTATTAAATCAATTTCAATTAATAAATGCTTGTTTGGAAGTTTTTATTTTGTGTTTGGATTTAATAATAAAATTTTTAAATTTAAATAATTACATGATATGATATAAAAATTAATTTTTAATATAATAATAAAATTTTTTTTTTTGATTTGATATATATATATAAATCAACAAATTATTGAAAATCCAACCAAATCTTAATTAGATACATATTTTTAACTCCCGCGTCGGTCAAATCAAGTGGAGAGTATTATTTAAACTCTCTGTGCGACTAAAATTTTTCAATCATCATAACAGAAAGAAATACACTCTTAACTCACTTCAAACTTTCTTTTCCAATTTCAAATCCATCTTTATTTAATTATTTTCAATCAAGATTTTTCAATAAACTATTTCGATACGGCCTGGAAAATTTCAATCGGGTAATAACTCGACAAGTTGACAGAATTGAAGTATTTGGGGCTTCTACATAGCTACGGTATGAATTCGATAAAATATTACCGTGAAATATATACTTCCTCGGTTCACTGTTAATTTATTCATTTTGTTTTTTAGTTTGTTCATCGCAAATGTATCTATTTTTTTTTTAGTAAATGCCATCAAATGTATCCATTTATCCCCACCCTTGATATAATATTACACAAATGCCATCAAATAACACAACTTAATACCATAAATATTAAGGGGTATAATAGTATTTATGTATATCAATTGTACCACATATCAATATAATACTAATATACTAAAATCTACGTGCAAAAAGTAAACGGATAAATAGATGATGGACGGAGGGAGTATATTTTTTTATAACATAGGAATCTGCAACTACTACTAATCTACTATGACCTTACGGTTACAAGTTCACTCCTCACACCATCATGTCATCTCTTACATGATTTTAGTATTATAATAGACATGTATAAAGACTATTATACCCTTAATATTTATGTTATTTGATGTCATTTGTATAATACTTCTTCCGTCCCAAAAGTAAGTATCTATTTGTTTTTTACACGTAGTTTTAGAAATATTAGTATTATATTTGGATATAGTAGGAATAAAGTAGAAATAACTAAAATAATCTTATTAGTATGTGTGATATAAAGTAATGACATTTGTGTAATATATTGTAAGTTGTAAGGGTATTTGTAATGTTAAGTAAATAGTACAGTTACTAGAAAAGGAAATAGATACTTTATTATGAGATGGGCTAAAATGAAAAAATGGATACTTTGTTATGGGACGGAGGGAGTATTATTTTACAAAGAGTTTGGGATATTTTTATATTTGAGTGGAAATACATTTACTAAAAATAGAAGCAAATACATACTTTTGTGATGGACGGACTAAAATGGCAAAATAGGTAGATTGGTGATGAACGAACGAAATATATTTTTTTATCTCACAAAATATCACATTATATTTTAATTTTAAATTTTTATATTTTCCAACAGCTACTTCAATTTCCTGATCGTTCAGAATTAAAGTCAAATTTGATTATTATGGTTGCGAAAGCTAAGCTAAAAATGGGTTACAACTCCTACGAAAGCAGTGGTGAGTAATTGCTTTGGATTTTTATTTTACAACATCGTATATTCCGAATCGATGAGATTATTCGAACAAATTCACTACAAGAAAATAGTATATTTGTAACGGAATTTCGTTACTAAAGTTCACGTAGCTAACGTAATTCCATCTCTAATTCCGTCTCTAATATCATTAGTAACGGAAAAAATGAATTTAGTAACGAAAAAACTTCGTTGCAAAATTGATAATTTCTTGTAGTGAAAACTTCGTGTACAATAATACGAATTTAATTAGACATATCAAAATAATTAAGGCTAAACTAAACATTTATATATTATTCTTTTGTTATCTTGTTGTAGAAGGAACTGATTACGACGATTTTGTTCGCCCAACTCAAAATCGAATGTCAAGAAAAGACACCGTTTCCGGCAACAAAAGGACTGCTGCAGCCTCGGCGTCGATGTCTTATCCCATGATGTATGAAAATCCTAAAATGGAAGCTAAAATTCGTCAGTTTGAAAAGGAAGCGTATTATTCGACTCTACGAGCATTTAAAGCTCAAGCTGATTCTATAACTTCGGTACAATTTTATTCAAACGTCTAATACTACATTTTGTTGGATCGAATTGATTAAATGGTAATGAAATAATGTTTCTTTAGGAGAAGTCGGGTTTTATTACCGATATGAGGAAAGAGTTGAGACTATCGAATGAGGATCACAGGGAGCTTTGCAAAAAGGTTAATGAAGACGTAACAATCCGAAGAATAAGGTTGTTTATTGTTTATAGTTTGTAAAAAGATCGACGAATTTATTACCCTGTTTTGCAATGTAATAAAGTTGTGTTTTTTTTTTTTTAATTAGTCTTATTAACTAATTTGTCGATTCTATTAGGGAGTGGCGACAATCAACGGGGCGTGGATTTGGTATTTCTATTACAGCTTCGCGAAAAAAACAAAAAATTGAAGGGTCATCTTCAAGAACACGGCGTGGGAAAGGTCGATTGGGAAATGGAACATCGGGTGGTCTTGTAATAGAAGATGTTAAAAACATTGATCCATTAGTTGGAAGGAAAATCAGTACTAGGTTGCCCGGAAATGATAAATTTAACGAAGGGATGATAATGGATTATAATGCTGAAAAGGTATGTTTCGCTTTTGGTGATTTAGCGACTTATTTTATATTCATATGTGCTTCTTTTCAATGATGTGTTTTTTAACTGAATATTTATCAATTTGTGATAATTGAAACATAATCTGAAATGTTCGATACCATGACAGAGCTACGGTCCATTTCGCTGGGGTAATCCTCAAGGAGGCGTAAAAGGTTGGGGTGCGAAGAAAAGTCGATCCAAGAAGGATCGCGAGAATCACGACGAAATTCGACTGCTCGACACAAATGTCCTAATTAAGGAGGTAATATTTGGAGCTACTAAGGTTAGATATTTTCTATAATTACGATGAATTCACTTTGTAACTTTGGTAGGTCGAAACAGTCTTTGGCGCCAACCATCCCGACTCTTTGGAAATCGAGAAGGTGCAAAGAGTACTCAAGGTTAGAAAAATATCGTTGTTCTAACGTTCGATCGATCTTGTCTATGAACTTGTTCGAATAAATTGATTGATTTTAAAATAGGACCAAGAACAAGGTCTTGTCGATGCTATTGCAAAGCTCGGGGCATTATCCGATGGTGAAGATGATAGGTTTGTATGTCGATTGTTTGACAATTTAGCATTGTTTCGGTTCCGATTTTAACCTAACCGCGTTTCCTTTCATTATATTTATCTATTAGGTTCCAAATAGGTGATGTCTTTTGCAGACAATCTTGATCAACGGTAGCCATTGTAATATATCCAAATGATTGGCGCCATCAACAACTGAGGCTCTCTAAATTTTAATATTCCATTGTATTCAAATTACGCTACAAAAAGATAATATATTTGTAACGAAACTCCGTCCCTAAAGTTCACGTAGCTAACGTAATTCCATTCATAATTTCGTCTCTAATGTCATTAGTAACGAAAAAAGTAAATTTAAAGACAAAAGAATTTTGTTACAAAAATGATTTTTTCTTATAGTATTATTCGTTAAACTCAAATAAAAAAATATTTTATCATTTGTCTTTCCTTAGAATAATTAAAGCTGAATTAATATATTTTCAAATAATCATCATTATTGTTATCATCTTTGAAAAATAGTCTTTGTTTACTTTACTTATTTCACTCATTTGTTACTATTTATTTTTTAAAAAATATCATATCAAATATACATTTTTTATCACAAAATATCATAGCAGATATTAATTTTTTATTTTTCAAAATTCCAAAAACCTGTTTAAACTAAACCCATGAGCATCAATACCATTGAATTAATTTACTAATCTTTTTTTGCCACTAATATATTGATATTCAACAAAAAATTAAAAATAAAGAGATAAATAATAATAATAATAATAATAATAATAATAATAATAATAATAATAATTTATTGTGCATTCCCATCATGCATTTTTTCTCTAAAAATTTCGTCCCAATTTTCATAATCTCAATTTAATTTTCAGTGTAAATAGTTTATATATATATATATATATAAAAGTTTTTCATACTAATTTAAATGTAAAATATTGTAAATTTGTAGGATACAGATTACAGAGAGTACTTATTTTAAAATATGTATTAAATCTGCAACCACATAATAATTAATAAAATTATACAAATTCCTCCACCGTTTCATCTTCCAAATCAAAATCAGCCTTCGGCGGCTTCGCGTGCTTCGGCGGCGGCGCGTGGTGGTGCTGCTTCGGCGGCATCGCGTGCTTCGGCGGAGGCGCGTGGTGGTGAGACTTCGGCGGCTTCGCGTGCTTCGGCGGTGGCGCGTGGTGGTGAGACTTCGGCGGTTTGGCAGATTTGGGAGGGTGAGCGCGGCGGCGGCGGCAGTGCCGGCGAACGAGCTCCTTGTACGAATCAAGAACTCCGTCGTCGAGATCCGCCGGCGGCGGCGGCGCACGGCGGCAGAGCTTCTTCCTCAGCTCGTGAAATTCTTCATCGTCTTCAATGGTGGGAAGGACAGTATCGTCGTCATCGGAATCCCCAAATTCGTCGACGGCGAAATCGTCGGAGGAAGAGACAGTTAGGGCAGAAACTGCAAAAAGGAGAAATACACAAAACAACAGGCGAGACATTTTTATTACATCCGCCATTGTTGAATTGCAGTGAAGAAGAAACTATTGCAGCCTCAATTTATAGGGCGAATTAAGGCTGCTCTGAAGCTTTTGAATTGGTCGTTAATGGAGTTTCTTACTACAGTATTTGGTATACTAATAATGTTGTTACTATAATATTATTTGATGCCCTAATTTAGGGATATTGTAATAATTTCACTTTCTATTTCATTTTTGGAAAAAAATCTGGTTGGTCTTTATTTGGATTTTATATTTTAAAAATATTTTCCACATTTATAAAAATCATGGAGTGGGTTTTCATGTAGTTTTGGTGTATTATTTTTAAATAAATATAATTATTAAATATATTGTTTGTAAAATTAGCACAATAAACAAATAAATATATGAGAGTTTTTTATTTTTTATTTTTTAAAAAAACAAAAACAAAAACAAAATCACTTAGGTATATTATGTGAAATAGAAAAAATAGACAAATTAAATGAATGGAGTGAATAATATATATTCCCTCTTGATATGAGCGCATTATAATACAATATATAATAATATAATTTAGTTTAGCACGCTGTATTATTAATTTAAGCATGGTAAGTATATTTATCACTACAAATAAAATAATATATTTGTAATAAAATTTCATCCCTAAAGTTCACGTAGCTAACGTAATTTTATTCCTAATTCCGTCTCTAATCTCATTAGTAACGGAAAAAGTAAATTTAAAGACAAAAAAGTTTTGTTATAAAAATAATTTTTTTTTTTGTAGTGTATATAACACATTAAATATATAGTGTGTTCACTTTATTTATTTTTTATAAATAAAAAATCATATTAGTAATATAAAAAAGAAGAAAAATACAGAAGATTTGAGAGAAAAATAATAAAAATAATATTTCATTTGTGCTACTTAATTTGTTCTCTCTATATATTTATATTATTACCATTTAATTTTTTTTAAAAAAAATATATAATTATAAATTTTAATGACATTTTAAAATATATATTTTATAAATTTTTTATTTTAATTAAATTATTTAGTCATTTTAATCTTAATTTATAAGATTTTTATTAAATAACAATTATTTTGAATAATATATTTTTTAATTATTTACTAATTACATAATATTTAAAATTTTGAGCTTAGTCTAAATGGGACAAAATAATTAGGACGGAAAGAGTAATTTTTACTACAAAATTTAAAAATGAAAAATGAGAAATTTTATTGTTTTTCTATTTCACAAATTCAAATATTCCCTCCACTCATATAAATACATTCTTTTATTTTGAATGATTCATTTACAATTTTATCCCAAAATGAAATACAGTAACTGAAATTATTACAGGATCTTTAAAATAAGACATCAGATAGATATTATAAATTTGTATAGTAACAACATTATTAGTATATCAACTATTTTTCTCTATCAGTCAAATTTATTTTGATTTTTTTTTGTTGATTTTTTTTTAGTAATTATATTATTTACATAACATTATAAATATTATTTTAATTTATAATATATTACACAAATATCATTAACTTTATATCATATAATACTAACAAGGTTAATTTAGTTTTTTTATTTTTATTTTTACTGTATCTTAATATAATACTAATATTTCTAAAATCATGTGTAAAAAGTAAACGAATAAATATATAGATATAAGAGGATGGAGTATTATATATAAAAATGTTAAAAAATTAATATTTAATTATTGCATTTCATTTACAATAAATACCACTATTTTTTATTATATTTTTTCTATTCATTCTTTTTAATTATTAAATAAATTTTCAAGAATAATACTCCCTCCGTCCCATATAGCTACACTGTAGACACGGTGTTTTAGGAAATGTGTAATTAGTAAATAATTTAGAATGTATTAGTGAAAATAATTATCTTATCATATAAATAATTATAAATTAAGATTAAGATAACTAATTAGTTTAATTTAAAAAATATTTTAAAAAAATTAAAAAGTTTAAAATGAGATTAGAGTGTATAAGACAGAAACTACAACAGTGGACATAGTATGTGAGATAGAGGAGTATTATTTTACTTTTTATATATTTTTTTTAATAGAACATTCAATTTCATTTATTATTATTATTATTTTTTTTTTTTTGAGAGGGATATAGTAACCCTAATAATAAGCAATTAAAAAGCTTCCGAGCAGCCTTAATTCGTCCTATAAATTGGACGCTGCAGGTGCTCCTTCTTCGTCAACAATGGCGGATGTAATGAAAATGTCTAGTCTGTTGTTCTGTGTATTTCTCCTCTTCGCAGTTTCTGTCCTAACTGTTTCTTCCTCCGATGATTTCGCCGTCGATGAAGTTGGTGATTCCGATGACGATGATACTGTCCTTGTCACCGTTGAAGACGATGAAGGATTTCACGAGCTGAGGAAGAAGCTCTGCCACCGTGCTCCGCCGCCTCCGGCGGATCTCGACGACGGAGCTCTCGATTCGTACGAGGAGCTCGTTCGCCGGAACTGCCGCCGCCGTCGCGCTCACCCTCCCAAATCTGCCAAAGCACCGAAGTCTCACCACCACGCGCCACCGCCGAAGCATGCGAAGCCGCCGAAGTCTCACCACCCCGCGCCGCCTCCGAAGCACGCGATGCCGCCGAAGTCTCACCACCACGCGCCGCCGCCGAAGCACGCGATGCCGCCGAAGTCTCACCACCACGCGCCGCCGCCGAAGCACGCGAGGCCGCCGAAGGCTGATTTTGATTTGGAATATGTAACGACGGAGGAATTTATGTAATTTTATTTAAACAATAAAATTTGCATAATAAAGGAGTTTGTGCTTTTATATTCTATATATTCTTAATAATAATTTATATTTAAAAACATATATAAAATATTTTTCAACAATATATCTAAAAAAATGATAAACATCATTTCATTTATATAATTTTATAATTTTCATGTATAGTTTTATAAATTTTAATTAGCCATAAACAATGTTATAAAATTTAAAAATCTCGGATTTCATAAAAAAAAAAATATACTCTCTCTATCCACAAATTAATGTTCTATCTTTCTATGTCCAACAATTATTGTCATATTTTTTTTAATATAAAATTTATATTTTTACCCTTCATTTATTTATTACTTTTAATTTATACTATACAATTAAGAGCACATTTGTGGATTGATAACAATCACCTAAAAAACTGTGCAAATATACTTTAAGACAATAGAAATTTGATGGAGGGAGTATTATTTATTTTAGCAAAATGTAAGTATTTCTTTATTATTAAACAATAAAAATACACTTCATATTAAAATTTATATAGAAAATAAATAAATCTATTTTTCGATAATTGTAAAGGAATTCATTTTCAATTCGAAACTTGTTCAAGCATCGCTATATAGAAGAAACAAGCAAACCCCGACGTATCTAAATCTTATTTATATGGTTCACTTAGTATGACTTGATTTGTCGGATCTAGTCTGCAGGTTATTAGGTTCGATCGAAGATTTATCGTTCATTCGAGTATCGGCTACAAATTTTCACATTATAGAAAAAAAAAAAAAAAAAAAAAAACAAAGAAACAAATTATAAAGTAAAAGCTCGAAAAAACACTAATATATTGATATTAATTTGAGTATTCATAGTGTAAATCAATTGGTTCACTCATAATTTTAGTT